CCCAGTTAGCTTTCGGTAAATTACCAGACTAGTAATTTAGATATGCTCCTGGTTTGGACTCCATGAGAATTTCTGTATGCATTGTCAATATCCGTTCACTGAATATATATGACAGTCTACAGATCCTAAGCTGTCTTAAGTAACCTCAGATATTATCTGCTTGAGAGTAAAAGCAACAGTTAACAAATTACCGAGTTAATTAGAATCTGATTGGATAAAAAGAGAGTTTCTATTTTCAGTGATGTTATTCTCACCCAGGTAAACTGTACAAATCGACTTTGTTAAGGCCTTCAACGGCGCTGACCTCGAAGTAATCTGGAAACTGCATCAACACTATGGCGTACTGTACCCCGAATCTTAGTCAACTTAATTAAACAGATATATGACAGTTGTCAAGGAATTAAACCCTAAGTTCCTATTATTTGCGAAGACGCTCCGAATCGATAATTACTAGGAACGATTATTGACTTTAAATTCAAAACACCAGGACTTGCAATCAGAAATTATATTCTTAGGCAGTTAAATTCGATATCATTACAAAGTCTATAAACAAATATTTTACAATAATTATAATGTACTTTTATTCGTATTCTTTCAACTTGTACACGATTGAACCATTCGCGCCTTCGAGTTGCCCGCCAATGGCTACCAAGGTCAATGAACCAACGTTCAATGTTCACCTTCCTTCACAACAATGCCACGTGATCCACAGAGGAAGACTCAGTGCGGTGTTCGAAGTGAATACAGGAGTAAGACAAGGCTGGTTGCCTGTTATCCCCAATGATTTGCCTAACGGTGGTCCACTGGATTATGTGGAAGACTGTGTAAGCCGATAAGAAGACTCTAGAGGATCTGGATTTGGCAGATGATTTGTCTAATATCACACAAACTCAAAAACTTACAGGCGAAAACCGACAAACTAGCTGAAAAGCAGTGAAGAGAAGACTCTAAGTGAACATAGAGACGACGGAGGTGATTAAGATACTCACATACCACCACCAACAACAACCAGCACTGATAACTATCAACCGGTGACATTTGAAAGAGGTCACCTCCTTCAGTTATCTGGCTAAGAAGCATCATTTCAACTACAGGCACACAGAATGAATGATATCAAAGCTAGAAATGAAAAGGCATTGTACACCTTGAACACTCAGAAATCACCTTGGAAATCTTCTGCATTCACTCAGCCCAAAAAAGGAGATTCGGAATTTCAACACAACTGTGAAATCAGTCAGTAGTTGCACGTGAGTCACCATACCAGTGCAGACTTGTCAACAGCTGCCTCTTTCGATGGCTCGATATTGAGGAACAAATGACTAGCCAGAAAGAATTACTATTGGACAAGAAACTATGGAACAAACCAACCAAGAACCGATTGCTCAAGAAATATGCAGAAGAAAATGGAGATAGATTGGGCATACGCCACTGATGAAACCATTGGGTGACATCGCGCTCAATGTCACCATTGCTCAAGTGGAACCTGAATGGCAAACGACGAGCTGGGTATCACTTCGAGGATGACATGGAGATCGTACGAGGAGCAGATGACGGATTAGGGGAAATCGTGGGCCCAGATAATGAGGACCGCAAAAACCAAGACAAAATGGAGACGTGCTTTAACAGCACAGCTGTGTGTTCTACTGGGAACCCTAACAATAATAGAATCGGATAGCACAGAGGTAACTGTCTGCAAGGATCTAATCCAATCCTGAGTTTTACGCTCTAGAGACTAATGTAATTAATTCCACACAAAGTCTTTGGTTAGTGGTCAAAGTTTCCTGGCACTCAAGAGGAGAGTGAATTTGACGATTAACTCAAGTGAATAAAAGTGTTTGTTATTAAGCGAATACACATCTTGGAGAGAGACTAAAATATACCTGTGGATAAAAACTCCATGCGAAAGAAACCTGGATTTGGGAAAATAAGTCAAATTCAAACAAAAATTGCAACGTTAAAAATATCCTTATCGAATAGACCACATAATGAAAGTGTCAACTAATTCTTACACCTCAACTTTACAGACTTTCCATAGTGTCAGTCATGCACCCTACGGAGTGTGCACACCAAACCTTCTTTATCAACCTCATTCACATTTCAAAAGCCCTTCGAAGTAAAGACAAGTCTTCTTAATATCATCCACGATAATCTTGATTATGTTCGACTGGATCATCTAGTAGCTGACCGTGGCGACAGAGAGAGAGAGAAGACGGACATACACTGGACTGACACAAAACAAAAACACCATACGACAATCTGTCTTCCGACGATGATCTATGTCCAGCGTACAGACCAAAAGTGTTGTACAACAACACCCTGGTTAAGACGACGGGGATTCTGTAAAAAGTCGAACACACACCTAACCATTAACTTCGTAAACATGAAACAAAGATAAAAAAAATAAAGACAAAATGAATAAATATTTATTTATTTATTTGTTGTCAATATTATTATACGTCCAGGAAGAGAGAAATAATGTTTTTTTTAAAAAGAAGGGGAAAAAGAAAAACCACTAACAGCAGAAATAGTAGTAGTAGTAGCAGTTATCAGGATCATCGTATAGTCTTTTCTTTGCATTATCGACTATATGAATAAAATTAGTAATAATAATAATAATAATGAGTAGTTAAAATCATAGGTTAATTGTAAATATGACTAGGAAAAACTTCTGTTGAATTTTTAGAAAAAAAAGAAACCAAAAATAAAATCAAAAGAAAGGAATAGAAAAACAACACCAGCAGCAAAAACAAAGGAATTACAATGCTCAATAAATAGTTCATTCAATATGCACAGAATTTTAACAGTAGATAGATTAGTACTACTAATAGAAGTATTAATGAAATCTTATAAAAAAACGACATTGTTAGTAGTATATGCCATACGGGAAGAAAAAAAAGAAAGAGTAAGATGTGAAGACAAGAGGCAGACAGGCTGACCGGACGGAGGATAAACACACAGCCACACACACACACACAAAATATTCGAAAACAAACAAATAAACAACCATTTCCAGTGAAGAAAAACACTGCCGCCTCCATGCTTTTGACGACTGACAACAACACATTTGGTGAGTACAATTTTGAAAAAAAAACAAAACACAAAAACAACTAAGATATAATTATAAATGGTAAAGAAAACTTGCTAGAACAATACAACTATTATCATTATTATTCAAATAATAATAATAACAATAAGCACAGACGTTAAACATTCTCATAAACCTATTCTTAAGAAAAGAAAACATTTGTTTAAAATAATATATTACTAACAAATTTAAATAAGTAGTATAAAGAGTTAAACTGGTTATTTTTATTTGTAAAATAAAAATAAAAGCCTAATAATGAATACCTTTAATAGGTAAAATAACCGACTCGCCCCCCCGGGCGCCACTACCACCACCAACAGGAGAGAGAGAGAGGAGAAATGTGCAATAATGAAAGTTTCAAGACAACCTTAGTTATGAGGTGCTCTTTGTAACACCACGTATACAATACAATCCATCCATCTACCGTCAATCTCTCCCTCATGTGATAGATAAGTGAAGAATGGACACGGAGGATTTAAAATACACAATAATAATAGTAATATAATAATAATAAGAACAACACATATAAATATATAAGAAAATGCTTTCTGATAATTACCCATAGATAGCTAGAATGAAGGCTACAAGTGAAATGATCCTAGATACACTTAGTATTAATAATAATAATAATGGTAAGAGTACTATTCATGCATGCAGGCATATTTCACACCAGAAAGAAATAAAATACCCATCATAGAAATGAGTAACCACCCCACTCCTATTTTGAAATCAGGGTGTAATATATAAAAGTCACAAAAAGCAGAACACTAAAGAATAGAAAGAGAAAAAAATAGAGACAAGATATTCTGAATAGTCATACTAAATATGCTCTAGACAATTTATTTCTCATATGAATTCAACCTAGTTAGTTATAGTAGAAAAAAACAATGTAAATAATTTCAATGAAAGTTAAGAATACTACTAATTTCGCCTAGTTCTATCGATACATACACGCCTCTCTCTGTATAGTACAAATACATTTAGAGGGGAGAAAGAAAGAGAGTTGGTGAAGTAATCTCCAACACATCCACAATCAACACACAAACACAACAAAGATAAAAATCAAGAAAGCAGCAATAAGTAAATAAAAAAGGGAACTTTTTCTTTGACAAAAAAAGTGATGATGATGAAAATAATAATAAAAGTTACAGAGAAATAAAGAAACCCCGCGCCCCACTGCGCCCCGTCTCGCCTCCCTACAGAAAACCACAATTGTGATTAGTTAGCTGCCCTAGGAGAGTGGTGAGTTGTTGCGCTCACTTTTTTTATTATCTTCAATGTACACAAATTTGATGTAGTAAATCTAGTAGAACAAATAAAACACACCTGTTTGTTTATTGTTCAATTGGAAATAACAAAGATAAGGTGTGTGTGCCTGTGTGCGTGGGTGTACACAAACACGCACAAACGTACACACACACACAATGCAGTAATTAGTAAGTAAGTAAATGAATAGTACCTGACAACAAGATAAGATTATATTAAAACACAAATAACAATAGAAAAAAGCACAAAGTTGAATTCCTAAAAGATATGAATAAGTGAATAGTGTGCGCAAAGTGGTGAGTAGTGGGAGAAAGAGACAGCGAGAGAGAGAGAGTAAATCCCCCCCCGTCCAACACAGAATTGTACACATTTATATACATACATGTTACATAATAATAATTGACAAAAAGATGTGCGTGCAGTAATGACATAGTAATAATAATAATATAAGGTAGATGTATTCTTCTTCTGAAAGATAGTAGGTAATAATAATAATAATAGTAAAAGATATTTCCCTAACAGTTTTTAAATCAATTACTGGTTTAAAAAGTAAACAGAAAATAAGCCCCACCCAAAAAAATGAAAAAGAAATCAAAGAATAAATACAAATTTCCATTGGGAAGAGAATAAACAACAACGAAAAAAATGCCTAAGAGGAAAGAGGAGTAGTCGAGGGTGACAGGAGACTCTTCTGTTTAACAATAGACGTGGACACGGGAAACAATCCCGGTGAATTTGTTATCTCTGAATATTTATGCACAGCAGCGGCTGTTGTTGTTGTTGTCGGTGGTGGTGATGATATTGCAGGATAATAAGGATTGTTGGTGTTCGAGTGGATGGTAACAGAAGTAACCGGAGAAGGTGTAGTACTTGTAGAAGGCGTAGTAGTAGTTTGAGAAGTTGGAGGAGGAGACGACAGTCCAGTCGTTTGGTGATGATCATGTGATGAATATAAGATCGGTGGTAAATACTTCATATCATGATTTTCTGCGGCTACAAGCTGAGGAATACCACTGTTATCCTCCTTACACAGTCCAGTTGATGTAATAACACCTAATCCATCCTCCATGCTACTACTATTCATACAATTAGTAGTCGTAGTAGCAGTAGTAGTAATGATCGGTGTAGTTGTATTCGAATTATTACTGTTATTATTAGTATTAGTAGTAGTACTATGAGACGGTGAAAAGGAGACATTTAAATCATTTCGATCAAGAGTGAATGAACAATCTGTTATAATACTAGACTCATCTAATGAAATTGGCGATAATGTTGGTGGACTTAAATTATTATTATTATTGTTGTTATTGTTACTAATTTGTGAATAGGAGATATCACGGCAAGAATTTAATGGAGAAGACGGCGAAGATGATGACAACGGAGACGACGTCGATGACAACAAGGCAGTAGGCGATGAACAATGTTTTGGTAATACACAGGAATGATTATTATTTCTAGGGAATTTCGATGACAGCCAATCTCCGTCCGCTACTTCTTCTTGTTTTTCATAAGCACCATCCATTATCATCACCATTATGAACATCGCCGTTAGCAATACCATTAATAGTGTTATTACTGTGATTAATTATCAAAGAGTCACTACTTGTAGTAATTGGATCCCAGTGTCGTTTACGCGGAGGTAAATTGAACTGATGACTATAATCAATAGGATTTGGATGAACACTTTTCTGATCATGATGACTGTGATGGTGATGATGACGATCACGATGGTGACGATGATGGCGACGATGACGTGAAACAGGAGAGCTGGGATAAAGTCTTTCAGGTACATTATCGTAGACATTGTTGATGCCACCACTAGCACTAGTAGCAACCGAAGAAGCAGTAGTAGTAGTAGCATGCGTAATTAAATCAACTCCTGATGATGATGATAGCCCAGGGGTTTGACGTGAAAATTCCTCAAGAATTAAATCTTGTACAGAAGCATGCATTGATTTACTCGGATGCAAATGATTGATTTTATTATTACTATTACTACTACTGTGTGATACATCAAAATATGTTGTTTTTGTTGATGATGTTCTTGGCGTGTAATAACAGGTACTAGTGATCTCTGGAAGTAAAGAAGGAATGTTATAATTGACAGGATCATGCTTATCTGTAAGATGATAATGTCTAGGCTGATAAGAAGAGGTGGAGGACGAGGAGGTGGAGTGAACACTAATCGAAGAGGATGCATTGATAGAAAAGCCCGAAGAAGACGAAGAGGGACAATTGCCTTGACGGATATCAGAAGGAATATGCATTGGAAGTAAAGGCGGAGGTGGAGGTATATTTGTTTGTTGAATAATCCTATGATTACTACTATTATTATTATTATTTCTATTATCCTTTATCATATTCTTACTCATCATAATAGTATTACTAGTATCACAACCAGAAACAGCAATCGCAGTAGCAGTACCAACGGCAGTTGTTGTTGTTGTTGTCGGCATCGTCGGAGAAAACGAACCAACTGTTTGAAGAGTTTTTAAGAGAACTGGTGCATCAATAGTATTACTTTTATTCGATGATAGTAAAGGTGATGGTGATACAGTTGTTGCGTTGTTGTTGTTGATGGAGTAGACCGACGACTATGAACAGATGAATATTGAAGTGTTTCATGCGGAAGGATCAATGCATTCGACTGAAGAGTAGTCATAGTACTGTTGCTACAACACACGGATACTTTAGTCAATGATGGAGGCGGTGGGATTATTGATGAACTGCCACTACCACTACTATGACCATTCGACAATGGAGTAGGATATCCATGCAGTGCAGAACGAATAGTACTACTAGTAATACTATTAGTAGTAGTATTACTCATACTAGTCGTAGTCATAAAGTATGAGATATTTGATGTATCATAACACAGGCCACTATTCCGTCTAGGTTGATTCGCTCTACCATCATTCACGGTGTTGTTAAATGTCGTCTTATTCATTGAATTGTGTTGAATGCAATTATCCGATTTGTTGGCTGTTGCAGCGGCCAATAAACGTGCTGCCTCAATTTGATGCCGTTTCACTAATTCTTGATTGGCTGTTGTTAGCTCAGAAATCTAAAGGAGAGAAATGAAAGCAGAAAAAATGATGATAATAATAGGATGGATAGACACAGTTGTATAACGCCACACTAATGTAAAACTTTAAGGAATCTAAGTTATATGAATGGAGGAATAGACGAAAACATAGGCCAACTACCGTGTGAATTGCACGTAGCAGTCACTGCTTCGTTCTCCTTCTTTACAACTGTAAGACATAACATGGTGAAAAAAGTGGGAGATATATACAGGGGATACTTGTCTTTGGTCATAGGCATTTGCATTCTATCTCTTGTGTAAGACAGTAAAATATGCAAGTGTTGGTTGGCAGTGATTTGATTGGTCGTTAGAAAACCGTTAGAAAACCAACACTCGAGTACTGGACAACCAGTTGTCTCGTCAGCTTAGTTTGGGACTAACTCTTCAGCAGTACACACCCATCCCCCACTGCCACAGTTCAAACCCAGGACCTACCAGTAACAAGGCCGGCGAGCTCGCAGACCATTAAGCCACCGTAACCCGACTCCTCCTCAATGGCCAGCCCTTGAATCCGAACTTCTGACAATTAACATATGATATAGCGCGACTGGTGCCACCCAATACCATCGCTGGAGAGTATTTGTCCTCACAATCGACCTGCTGTACCCATGCCACTGGTTAAGACTTCTCACTAGAACCTACTCAGATAACTACCTGCCTGAATAGGGCCAGTGGTCGCTAGTGATAGTTGTTAGCGACTGGCTACAGTACGAAGTTGCCTGGAATTCCAGTACGGATTTGTGACCAGTGGGGTTCATCCAGTCGGGAGTGAGGATGAAGTCCTGCTGATGGAACTGGTTGGTGGTCGCGCTAAAATCACGAACTGGTAGAAGTTATAACTCATGGGCTGGTCATTGGATTGGGTCCCAGTGGCTGAATGGTATACGAGCTGGCCTTGTAACCGGAAAGTCCTGGGTTCGAACCCTGGTGGGTGAGTACTGAAGGAGTCCCAAACTAGACTGACGAAACAGCTGTCCAGTACTCCCTGGTTCTCCAACTGATATCAATCCATAGTCTAACCTGAAACAAACAGAATGCCTACAGAATAATTCTTGAAAATTCTCTAAATCCCGAAATCTGAAAAAAAGTTCCTAGGACAAATGTCTCAGAACTCTCTACGGAAACATCGTGGATAGCGGAGGGCGGGGGGTTGTCCACCGTGTTTAGATGAAGTGGCTGCTCATTTAACGACATTGCTTGACGATGGCAGGCGTGAATAGTCAGTCTACGGATTCGCCGAGAAACCTACAGGTTCGACTCTTCCAGTTAGATGGTGGTGGGTGTACACACTGATGAAGAACGCCTCAGAATATGACGTAACAAATGTGAAGTACTTCCTCAGCTTTATTCATTCTCTAACTGATGACGACATCTACATTGAAAATGTAATTAAATTATCAAATGAAGAGATCTTAACAATTCAGTATTTACCTCTATGAGAATGAATATGGATACATATGACTTGTGAGAAAAAAAGTCATATATAGTAGACATGTGCAAACAAAGAAATCATCGTACTGAAACAGGGATCTCACACAATAGACACATACGAAAGAAGATAAATAGGCGAATAAAGGCAACACATGTGATGTAATAATATATATAATTACGTATTACCTTGATTCACTGAATTTTACACGAATGAAAAAAATAGCGGGGACTGTGGAGTGGGGAAATTAACGACTCAATAGACAAATAAATTATGAGGATAATTATGACGTAATAAAAATCAGAGTCACGTCACTGAAAACACGTGAGAGAGAAAGAGAGAGAGATAACATTATCAGCATATGAATGGATTTGAGATGTGTGGATATAAAATAATGCCTATGGTTGTGATTGATTCCACACATTTATGAAACTGCCTACTATGCCATCCATCCATCCCTCCATCTAACTAACTAACAATTTTAACAGTGCCATAAAACTTGAAACTCCAAAGCTTCTCTTCTACTTTTAGTAACCTTCTTCATATAAATTGGTGGCACGTTCCAATTAATTTGAAATCCTGCACATATACTGATGTTAAAAAATTTAGGTAGGCAGCTGTCGTGGGCATGTGTGACAGATATGAACTTAATACTAAAATTAACACAGCTGCAAAAATACATACACAATTCTACGAATCATAATAGATCAGTCTACTTGTTCAATACGATAATTTCCAATTAAATATGTAACCAGTCAAATCCCTGCAAACCAACACTTGAATATCAACCTGATGCTCACTAGTGACTACTAGTCTTATTCAGGTGGATAGCTACAGTGGGTAGGTTCTAGTGTGAAGTCGTGACCAGTGGGGGGACACAGCAGGTCAGGTGTGAGGACAAATCCACTCCAACGATGACATTGGCTAATGCCAGTCGCGCAGCATATTCGCCAGCGATTGTGATTCTTAGCTATATATGATAACGTTTCGAGGCACTGATTCGAACTATCGCTCGGACACCCCAACCAGGGAGTCGTGATGTGTACCAACTGATGCTAACCTAACACAAATATCCTTCATTCCGCGACACCACATCATGGGTTGACCGCCTCTCCGCTTTTTCCATCCCGCTCCAGGGTTAGCGAAAATAGTCCAGTACGGAAGCCTCTGAGATGACATTCGTAGCACATGTCCAAGCTATCGAAGCCAGTGTCCCCAGATGACGACAGTCAATTAATGATGATCTCTACTGTGTCCAGGCACACGCCGCCATACCTCAGAATTATTCGCACGATGATGCCATCGAACACAAGCAATTCTACGGAGACAGTGATGGTCGAATACGCAGAGTCACCGCATATTCTCAGCTCGGAGAGGCCAGGTTTCACAGGCACAAAGCAAGACAGCGTGCACCGAAGGATTGTAAACCCAACCTTTGACAGCCAGGCTAACGTCGCAACGGAGCCAGACCAGACCAGAGGTGGCTCAAGTTGACGTATGACACCCTAGCTTTCATGATACGATTGGAAATCTCGTCCGTCACGCCTCCGCCAGCACTCACACAACTACCCAGATACACGAACTTATCGACAACTTCAAGCAGTTCACCTGCAAGATGAGTGCAGGTACAGGCTCCTGCCATAAAAAGTACATACCATAGTTACAGACACTGATCGCCAACTGACTAAGTGCGATTTGGGCAGCCTGCATGATATCGCACAGTAAGACGATATCATCTGCATACTTGAGGTCGAAAAGTCTTCCTCCAGGAAACAGATCTACAACAACACCACGTATGTTCTTCATCCATGGCAAAGTTGAGGACAAATGGAGAGATTGGGCAACCCTCTCTAATCCCACTGTTGGTTGGGAACAGTGATGATAGCTAGTTGTATGCCCTCAACACTCTGAGGTATTTCTCTATAGGGCTTTTAGGATGTTAACAAACTTCTCAGATACATCCGTCCCTAAAAGACAGTCCCAGAGCACAGTTCTATCCAACGAATCGAAGGCAGGCCTAATATCAAGAAACACAATAATTGTTGACCTGAAATATGTGTGACGGTGTTCCAACAACTGACGAAGGGTGAACACATATGATCAATGTATTTATTTCTTCACTTTACTCGCTAATGCACATTAAGAATTAGGTAATCACATAAATGCATATTTACATATAGTAAAAAATACACTTACTTGTTTCCGGAATTCAGCAATTTTCTCCTCTAAAGCATGATGATGTTTAATTAGCCTTCTAGCTTGAGCAAAAAATGCTGCCGGTGTAGTTATCAGTATACCAAGCTGTTTATTTTAATAAATGAGAAATGAAAAGAAGAAAGGAAAATTTAAAGGGGCTGACTAACAGACATAGGAATTAAAACTGATGAATAATCTTGAAGAACAAAATATGTGGACTCAATCATGGATACTCAGATTAAACAAAGAAGAAATATTTCAAGTGTTGCTCTGCAGGGATTTGATTGGTTACAGAATTTCATTATGACTTGATATCGATTAGAGAAATCCTGTAACCAATCAAATTAAATCCTTGCAAGCCAACACTTGAACATTTTTTTCTGATGCTCACTAGCGACTACTGGTCGTATTCAAGCAGGTAGTTACCTGGGTGAGAAGTCACCGTCAGTGGGATGGGTATAGCAGGTCGGGTGTGAGCATAAATATTAGCCAGCAATGAAACTGGCTAAAGCCAGTTAGACTATATCGTGCGTGAATTGACAGAAGTTGGAATGCATGGGCTGGCCGTTGAGGAGTCGAGACCCACTGGTTTATTAGTCTACAAGTTTGCCTTGTAACCGGAAGGTCTTGGGTTGGAACTCTGGTGGTGGGGTGTGTGTATACTGTGAAGAGTCCCAAACTAGGCTGACGAAACAACTGTCCATTACTCCAAGGTTTCCCAATGGTTCTCTAACCGACGTTTATTTTTTTATATTTTATTTTATTATAGCTTGACTCCACACAGTACTTTTGATACAAGTATGAAATTTTCAGTATGTGATATCGGTAGCCCAAATTTTGCAGGCCGACCATTGATATCAGGTGTGCGTCGGCAGCGGATAGAACCCCGGACCATGCGCATGGTCAGCGAGAGTCCTAACCACTGTGCCACCGACGCACAGGCCTCCAGTGGTTACATGATGTCTTCAAAATGACTGTGCACGTAATGCATAACACAATATACTACCGAGGCATGTGTGATTATTCATCCGTACTAATAACGGTACTAAATCTAAGAAAATTATGTCATAACATATGACACACACACACCTACGCAAAAACAGTAATGGTTGAGTGTATGTCTGTAGGAATTGTAAAGCGGAAGGGAAATAGACAGACGTAATAACAGATATGTAAAGCACAATTTATCACATCACATCACACCACACAAATTCGTGATTACATAATATGCCTTGATGATGACTCAACGATTTGTGCTTGTGTGTGTGTGTGTGTGTGTGTGACTGACTGGTATCAATATCGAACTTTGCACACATGTGCAGCAGTTCCAGTTCCCACACACTCTCTCTCTCTCCATGTACCACATAAGCAACAGAAGACAGTAAAGAGACATTCAAAAGAGAGATAATAAACACAAGTGTGAGGGAAAAACAATATTAATATGGAAGAATAATAAAGTTTTATTGGATGTTGCAGACAAATGACAAAGAGCGAATGCATCTGCACTGTCACTGACAACAATATTGAACCATATCACCCAAATGTCTCCAACCGCCATTGTTTCTTACCATCTTGAGTAGCCCAACCAGACTGGTAGTCTAAACCTCCCTACGTGGCTTAAACTAAATGTTACCGGCACACTGTGGAGAGAAGGCGCTATAAAAGGTCCACCCGGAAAATTCTACATCCCGATTTACTCTAACTACGGTGATCCGTCCGTAGCCAGGGGTAAGTTACTAATACGGAAGCAAACCTAAAAGACATTTCAAACAGGCATCAAGCAGTTGTCCACTGGGCTCTGTGGTCACGTGCAACACTAATTCTCTTTCTGTTTCACATACCCCAAGAGAAAATCAACTTTCACGGTGTGGGCAGATTGGGAAGTAACAATCGCCCACAACACTCTCAAGCCCTCGTGATCATCATTCGTTGCGTGTGTGTGTAGAATATTTTTTGTAAGTAGAATGACAATTTATGTGATAAATGAAGCATCAAATAAAAAGAGTGAAAAAAAGAGAGAAAAGATTGATGATAATGTTGTCACAATCAGGTTTTTTTTCCTAAAATAAGAACAGAATTATACCGCCTCCAGTGGTTACATGATATCTTCAAAATGACTGTGCACGTATTGTATAACACAATATACCACCGAGGCATGTGTGATTACTCATCCGTACTAATAACGGTACTAAATCTAAGAAAATTATGTCATAACATATGACACACACACACCTACGCAAAAACAGTCATGGATGAGTGTATGTCTATAGAAATTGTAAAGCGGAAGGGAAATAGATAGACGTAATAACAGATATGTGAAGCACAATTTACCACATCACATTATACCACACAAATTCATGATTGCATAATATGCTTTAATGATGACTCAGCCATTTGTTTTTAAGTGTAAAACTTATTTTTCTTATTCAGGTATTGGTTTGCAAAGATTTGATTATGTACAGGATTTCATCGTGAGCTGACATCGGTTAGGGGACCATTGGAGAACCACTAGGGAGTACTGGACAGCTGTTTCGTCAGCCTAGTTTGGGACTCTTCAGCAGTGCGCACTTACTCCCCCCCCGCCCAACTAACAGGGTTCGAACACATGACTTTCCGATTACAAGGCAGGCAAGCTCGTGGACCATTAAGCCACTGGAAACCGCCAATCCGATGGCCAGCCAGTCCATAAAATTCCAACTTCTGCCAATTCACGCACCAGCCAATATCACCGTTGCAGAGTATTTGTCCTAAACTGACTGTGTACCACCCACGCACCCCCTACTGGTCGGGACTTCTCACTAGAATCCACCCAAGTAACTACCAACCTGACCATCATCAACATTTGACGTATGACTAAAAACCTTAGTAGCAATTCACTTATTTAATAATCTTTAAAGTTTTTTTAATTCATCCACTTATCAACTCTAATCCCCTTTAAACCACCACTTTAAATCTTTGATTGCAGACTGAATCCTAACACAGTCAAGTTTGCAAGTTTCTGACTGTACAGCACTGCGTGACTGCGGGTTCAAATCTCAGAGGTTGTAGATACGCCTACCCTGCTAACTTTTGAGTGCCAACTAGCACGAACCCTAGGTGGTGTCCAAGGCTTTCTGCCGATTGCTCCTAACCATCCAAGATAACTTTAATTATCCACATTCTTATCATGTGAGCAATTTCTAGAGCCACTTAATGCCTTTTTCCGTAGTATAAATACCACTCACTGTACAGTTTGATGAAATGAAGTCGTTGAAATGAAATACATTTCTTCACGGAATAAAACTGTGTTCCTCCTTATTAATCACACAATAATGTGTCAGAAATAGGTTGTGAAGCCTATAAAAACATATTTGCCAGATAATATACGAAAGATGTAAAAAATTACCGAGGAACTGGTATTTGGATAAACCTTATTCGAATGTGCTTTTTTTTGAATAGCCTAGCACACTTATGTCATACATATGATACTGTCACTCATCATCAGTCAATGTAATTTCAATATTAGATTTAAAAACAAAACATTTAATTCAAGTGTTGATTTGTAGGGGTTTGATTGATCGGTTACAGGATTTCATCATGAGCTAACATCAGTTTTACAGAACCATCGGAAAACCAGCATTTGATTACTGGACAGCTGTTTCATCCTAGTTTGGGACCCCTCATCAGTACTTACCCACCCCACTGACAGGGTTCGAACCCAGGACCTTCTGGTTACAAGGCAAGCTCGTAGACCATTAGGCCACTGGGACCCGCCAATCCAATGGCCAACCCACGAATTCCAACTTCTGCCAATTCACGACATAGAGCAACCATTAGTCAATGTCTTCGACGAGTATTTGTCCTCGCATCCGACCTGCTGCACCCTACTGGTCCCAAACTAGGACGAAACAGCTGTCCAGTACTCCCAGGTTTTCCGATGGTTTTCTAACCAATGTCAGCTTATGATGAAATCCTGTAACAAAACATTTAATTGCCAGTTAACTAGGTAGGTATTTAGGCATCCACTTATTTCATACATTTATTCCATCCCCCTGCCCTTTATGAATTTGAATAAAGCAAGAACAATAACAGTGGTTTGTGCAGTATACAATGGTACTATCATTGTTTATTTTATCGGCTTCTCATCAGCTGCGTATACAGTCTAAAGACATTATTATTAAGTTTATGCACAGAAACAATTTTAACATACCTACCTACCCACAGAGAGTTTAAGTTTAAACAAAAGACCAATGTATGCATACAATGGTAATAACGATAATAATAATAATCGCTTTGTTCCAAACAATAACAATCATAAAGAATGGAATTTTCGGCGTTACATAATCAAACCCTGTAGGTAAGTTGGTTCCCATTTAGCGGACAACATGCTCTTTGGTACAATCGATAATCGATAGATACCCATTTCTTATGTTAACGCCCAACTGTGTATACAAATTTAAATATATCTGCGGGATCAAATACATTGGGAGGTTGGAAAGAAAAGCACACCTCCGATTTTCTGAACAGTACACGTACGCAAAAGTCTACGTCTTCAGAGAACAAATACTTTCAATAGTGTCACTGCCAAGCATCTGCTTGATACGGATCATGAGGTGGATGTCACAAGGAACCGTCGAAATTATCAACAGTCTGCTGAAGCAATCTCTACCAAACACCTGAAACGTGGTTAATGTTCTTACTCCTGGTAACTGGATGTTTTCATTCTCTCTCTTGTGTGATTACGTAATAGTGAAAGTTCCATTCTTGTACGGTCATTATTGTTTGAAATAAATTTTTAACTATTGTTAACATTGTATGTATACATTGATTTTCTGTGTAAACTTGAACTCTCTAGGTATGTTAAAATTGTTTCTGTACACAATAAACTTAATAGTATGCTTTAGGCTGTATACGCAGCTGATGAGAAGCTGACGAAATAAACAGTGATGGTGACATTTTATCCTAAACAAACCACTATTGTTCTTTTTTTATTCAAATATCCAATTATTAAGTGAATCCATAATCTCCGATCGAAAGCCTAGAGCGATAAAATCTTCTGAAATGTGTCCGGAAAGAGTTCAATTTAAAACCAACTGAGCCAAAAGGCAAGTAGATTAATCGATATACAATAAAGGCAGTCTAAAGTCGAAGCTTATTTCACAGAACTATCTATGCATTAACTTAATGTGTTACAGTAGTTTATCTGGAATGACAACAATATCAGGACTGTATAACTTTCTCATAATAGCCGTTTCGTCCTAGTTTGGGACTCATCAGAGGCGCGTTTCGAACCCAGAAGCTTCCAGTTACAGGGCAAGTGCATAACTTGATTCCACACCGTATTTTTGGTAAAATATGGAATTTTCAGTATGTGATATCGGTAGCCCAAATTTTGCAGGCCAACCATTGATATCAGGTATGCGAGGGCAAGTTAGGAAAAATAATAATAATACAGAATTCATGAATTTATGGGCTCCACAGAAGGCTGACCAGGGCAGTAGTAGTGGCTAGCTGGACCTGTTTCTTCTGCGCACACAGAGCACTATATTTTTAGGCGAATCACAGTAGCCTCTGCTGTTTGGTGTCTTCAGTACCTGGATACTTTTGGCAATGCATTTAGTAGCCGATAGATAATAATGGAGAAGGATTCTTCAATGCTAGCTGGCTTAGTGACCGGTCACTGTGAATCAAGTGGTCTAATATCGAGCTGTTGATGATGTGTTTCCCTACACCTTTATTTAGCCACACGCACCACACTGGTTGGTATTACCGAGCGAGCAGTAAAAATTAAGTTTTTAGATCGACGGCTCATATAACTAGCTCCACCAAAAGCTCAGTCGCACTGATAGGCATCAAAAGAGGTAGGAATCACAACAGGTGGTGTAGAAAGCATGACTTGTAGTTTACCAGCACTACAAGTACTGCGATAATTATTTTACTAGATACGTCACCTGGGAATTGTAGTCGTACACAACAAGGCCTCTAATTTACAGAAAGAGATCAGTCCTTTTCTGCTTTCTTAGTCATGTGCTTCCCGATCACCTTTCGTGGATAACTATTTCTAATTATTATTATTATTGTTTCCTTCAATTTCTGGAGGAACATAGGGCTTCAACCGCACGTCTCCATTGCGTTCGGTTCTCTGCCAACGTCTTCACCTGACTCCACGTCTGCCCACATGCTTTCATCTCCTCTTCGCATCACCTCCTCCTTGATGTCACCCTCGCACTGAAAACCAACTGACTCGCCACTTCCCATTCGGCTTCCATTCGAGCGATGGCCTGGCGTGTGATGTCACTCACTTGATGATTTGTTTTCTCAGAGTGTGGCCAATCCACCTGCATATTTGGTACACAATTGGTTCCTGCTGCGTTGGTTCGTTCATTGCCAGAGATTCGTGCTGCTGATGTTTTCTGGTTGGCCATCTGATCTTGAGTATTAAGCAAAGACGGCTGTTGATGAAGGTCTGCAGTTTGTTCGAAGTGGCCTTCGTGGCGCAGCGCCAAGTCTCTGGTCCGTATAGTAAGTAGCACTGACTTCAAATTGGAGTATTTTCAACTAAGGTATCATCAATTATGTCTTCTGAGTGTACAGCTTTGGCCCTGTAACTGACAGTCTTTATTAAATTCCTTTTGTACTGGAGAGGTACAATGCTATGAATAAGACGAAGTTATCCAAAAGAGTATTCGTTGCTCACTAGTAATCCGTCTTCCGGAATTTCTAATGAGCATTTATTTAACTAACTAACTAATCAATTAATTTACATTTATTTATTTAATATTTGTCTAGTTACGTGATAAATACTATTTTCACATCTAATAACATAAATAACAATAATAATAGACACGCACGCACACACACGTAAAAGTGTTGCAACAACATCAGGAACTGAAAGTACCCATGGTTATTTTGATTGGACACTAGTTACTAGTGCGACGTGTCTAGTCCTTTCTTTGGTGCAGACTGAATTTTATCATTCAGGTTTGCGATGTGGCCACCCACCTGACTGATAGAATTCAGTCTGCACCAAACAAAGGACTAGACACGTCACACTAGTTACTGACTAGTGTTCAATCAAAATACCCACTACAGTCCTACAGGAGGTCAATCGCGAGTCTGAATAGCTCAGTGGTAACGTCTCTGACTGACTGCAGCCGCTGGGTGACGTAGGTTCGAATCTCAGAAGGGAAATGAGTTCCTTCAAAGCGGTTGCAGATACGCCTTGCTGACTGGTGAGTACAAACTAGCACGAAACCTAGGTCAGGTGGGCTTCCTGTAGCCGATTGCCTCCAACTATCTAATAGTATCCATGGTTTTTAAGCAACACTGAGAGACGTTTTTTAGCGTAACAGTTACACACACACACAAACAAACAAACGACACAAACCCAACCCAATCTGACCCAGAAAATAGAATAAAACACTACTACTACTGATTACATAAATACATGAATCAATTATTATGATTATTACCCAACGAAAGAAGGAAAAACAAGACGCCAGAGAACAAAAAAAAAAAAAAACGTACGCGTTTTGTAAAACGATTCAATAATTCTGCACCGTCTGTATGCAACTTTGCTATTGACTGTTCTAATACTTTAATATGCTTTAATAATTCAGTTTGTCGATTACGTTCACGTTCTAGTTCAGATTGTATCGTTGATGAATAAGCAGGTGATTGTAGCATAGCAAAATGATCCATAAATACTTGTTTTGTTAATTCTGAAACAACGAAAACAGAAAAAAGCAAATAAAATATAAAAAAGGAAAGTGCGGGGGGGGGGGGGGGAAGGCGGAGAAAAGAGATGAAACAATGATAGATAAAAATGAATGTGATGGAAAAAAAATTATCTCAGTTAGCATCTTTAATTTCTCACAATGTACTTTTTACACCAACTGAGCCAATTTGAAATTTTTTGGGCGTATATAAATATATATATATATATATATATATATATATGTATATATAGAAAATCAAAACAAATGATTCAGCGAAGAGACTCTTTTCAACGAATTTACCATCAAGCTGTACAATCGTATATATATGGTTTTTAAGAAGTTATATCTGGTGAGGGAATTGAAACATAGGTGTGAATGCATGAAATAATAATAATATGAAGTGCAATTAAAACTAAAATGTTTGTGATTATAATCGTAGTTAAAGGTCAAGTGGCAAAGCAAATTAATGTCATATATAGAATAATTCATAGGATGGATAGAACTTGAAAAAGGTGTGCAATTATAAGATTAGTAGACAAATCGAAAAAATAAAAACGTTACGTATTATAGTGTGAAATTTAATAGCATAGAATTTAATGTTGCATAAAGGAATTGATTTAGAATGACAAGTGGAACAAGTGAAATAATACCGGGGACAATTAAAAGTGAGAGTAGTAATAGTAACAATTGACTTAATAAGGAAGAGTATACAAATTGAATAGACAAAAAAGAAAAAATGAAAAAATGGAGAGTTGGTAGAGCTAAGGTATGATATATATATATATATATATATGAGGTGTTGGTTTGCAGATATTTGATTGGTTACACGATTGATTACGAGCTGGAAAACCTCTGGGGAGTATTGAACAGTTGTTTGGAACTCTTCAACAGCATGTACCTACGGGGGGTTCGAACCCAGGACCTTCCAACCGAATGGTCTACCAGCTCGCCTTGTAACCGAGACGTCCTGGGTTCGAACTCCAGTAGGTGGGTGCGTACTGTTGAAGAGTTCCTCCACGCTAGTTCGAAACAACTGTCCAGTACTCCTCAGAGGTTTTCTAATGGTTCTCTAACTGATGTCAGCTCGTGATCAGTTGTGTAGCCAATCAAACCCCTGCAAATCAACACTTCATAACTAATCTGATGTTCACTAGTGACTGATTCCATGCAGGAAGTTACCTAGGGTTCTAGTGAGAAGTCGTAGCCAGCAGGGTCGGCTCACCGAGTCAGACAAAAGGACAGTTACTCGCCTGTAACACTAGCGTGTCATCCCGAGGGCCCACCCCAACCACACTACCAGTCAGGCAGGCTATACCTTCCTACCTACGTGTCTGCCTGGCTTAAACTAATTCTTATGGATTTGGTTGAATGATGAAGCCATGCTTTCTTTTGACCACCACTAGCCAACTCGCTTCCAACCTGATCCATCCTATATCAGCGGCTAACATTGAGATGGCTAAGCTAGGCTAGGTATGCGTAACACATGTCCTAACCATCTCACTTAATCCATATAACTTCACTACACAACCTTGTTGATTGATTTTCCCTCCTGCTTACCTAGCATACACTCCACCGAAGCCTTACCTGCTCAATATTACTCACCCTATTATACCACTACCTCCACCTAACACACACACACACGGGAGAGAGAACAAAGGCAGACTACCTATGATGAAAGACAGCTAGCTAGCCATGCTTTTCATGTCTTCCAAATTCAATGATGGCCATGTCTCAACCACAGCCAGCCAGCCATAAAGGGGGACGGATCGAAGTGACTGCCGAACACTACACACGTCATTTGGTCGACAACCAGTCATCCAGCCGACCATCTCGTCTCATAAGCTAGAGATGGTGTCAGTTGTTGGCAGATGCCAGATGAGCCTTCTGTAACCATACTGAGATTTCTTCAGCGACCAGATCAACCCTCTGATGAGGCTGATGCAACTTCCTAAATAATAAGTGGAGTGGTCAACACGCTCCAGCAACCACTTCACTGCCTCCCTATCTTTAAAGTAGAAGTGAGTCGATGTAGTCCAGTCCTGTAGCATTAATTATTATTATTATTTGAATAAACTGCCTAGCTGAGCACCTCAAGACGCTAAGGAACTAATGGCTTCGGCTTATTGGTGATATGGCTGAAAGAAGTCGCACATGTGATCTAATCAAAATCCCATTTTTTCTTTCTGTGTCGTACACCTTTAATTATACTTCCACTGTATTTCTGGGTTTTTTTCTCTGCCCCTCTTTAAGTATGCTTTTATAGAGTGTTGCAACTTCTTGAATTCCTGTGCAATTTCTTTTCTTTTTGCTAAGTTAATTTCTAAGCTGAAAATCAATTCCGTCCAGCTTATAACTTTAAAATTCACTCACAATACAATACACCGTTACAAATTTCATCGAGCGGTGTCTGCTTAAAACTTAGGCTACCAACCCCCCTCCCCATGACTTTGTTTAAATCTAATGAAAAACATGACCTATAACCAGTACTGTTTACTCTGGCGAGTATTTAAAACATTTTGCAACATGCTGATCCGCAAGTCGACTCTACTAAAACATGAGAGAAAAAGCATAAATCCTGGAGAGGCAGCTTATCCCAATACATGAGATAATTGTTCCTCACAGTGGTGTGTCGTTTGGTTCGCAAAATCTACTCTCCTCAAGGTTTACCAAATGGCATTCAACAAAATGTCATCTATTTCACGAAGAAGAAAAAGAAAAGGTATCATAATGGATTGGTTTACACTTCAGGTCAGATAGAACTGCGTCACACGATCTACTCTCAGTTAATCTTTTATTTGAAGATACTGGAATGAAGAGAATCTATCATAGAATAAACTCGGCTGAAAATTCTGTGTAAATTATATAAACGCTGTCCAGAATAAAGCTATTATGATTTAATATTACCGTAAATAAAACAAGCTAAATAAATATAAAGCAACGATTTTACGCCTCCACACAATTAATGACGGCTGAATAATAAATAATTAATTGGTACAGCTATGCAAATAAAAAATGGAAAAAAGAAATCAGTTCAAGTTGCCAAATTGAAGTTTAGAAAAGTGATTCAGTGAAACCTCAACACCTACCTCTACAATGAAGAAATATGAACAGGTGGAAAAAAAATGATATTAATAATAATCAAGTGTTGGTTTGTAGGGATTTCACTGGTTACAGGATTTCATCATGAGGTGACATTAGTTAGAGAACCACTGGAAAACCAGCACTAGAGTACTGGACAGCTGTTTCGTCCTAGTTTGGGACTCTTCAGCAGTACGCACGCCTAAGGGTATACGAGCTTACCTTGTTACCAGAAGGTCCTGGGTTCGAATCTCTATGTGTGTGTACTACTGAAGAGTCCCAAACTCGGACGAAACAGCTGTTCAGTACTCCCTTCAGGTTTTTTAATGGTTCTCTAACTAATGTCACCTCATGATGAAATCCTGTAATAATAATAATAATAATCAAAATTCGATGAAGAATTGTGCACAGTCTCCTTCTACTCTCCTGAGAACCTCATAATCATCAGCCCACCTAAAGCAGTTGACAATCCTATGGTGATGATGATGAAAGATGAAGCTGAGTAACTTCAATGTGAATACAACTGCAGTGAGAGCTGGCTGTTAGTCATAATTGGTGGACAGTAATTTACGTCAATGTTTATATCCCCAATATTGGTCGTGAGAAAAATAAGAACAAAGGCTTTGTGTGGGCGGATACAGTTAGCGTATAGATGATCTGACATTCAAGAAACAGCCACAAAGAAATGCAAGGTTAACTTTCTGTGAGAAACAACCAATCAGAGGACTGTGTTTTTCTGCTAACAATAATCTATAATAATGTACATGAAAATCTATAAATATGTGTTGATTTTCCTTAATAAACGATCTGTTGCCTGTCCCTTGTCTTCTGTTGTTACACAATCAGACAAAAGAAGACATGTAATTTAACAAGTAAAATTCACTTTTACTATTTACAAAATATTCTCAATATTCAGGACAATGTGATGTACGGCTATGCCATTTTAACCCCTTGATGCGGTTGGAAAAAAAACCGATGTTCATAAATTTATTTAAACACACACAAGCATCCCATTAACGATAATATTTATCCACTCAAGACGAATTTAATTATACACTTGAGTTTCCATGAGGTTGGCAATGAGCCAAATCTATTTCACGAGGGTGTTAATGATACACTGTCTGGTTGGCCACACCTCGCTGGCGGATAAACATGCGTTAGAACATGTGATGGAAAGTAATTGGAAGTCGAACCAACGCAAAAAAAACTATTGACCCAAACAGCTCTACATTATAATTTAAACAGACAAATAAATCGATGGCAATGGAATCCAGGATAGCACGCATTTCATCCTATCTAGGACCTTAGGCCGAGCACTTCGGTTTTAATCAATCAACGGGAAAGTCCAAATTGAATTAAATAATAACTGATACCCGTTGCACAAGAGGTGGCTGTCGTGGTCCAAGCGGTCTAGTGGATAACCCGCTTTAGCGGGTTCGGACCGAAGTGCTAGATCTCTGTTGACCTGTCGGCGGCTCTTTGCGCAGATACTTCAACGATATCTGGTGATTCAACGTGAAATAATTCGGTGGATGGTGACTAGTACCGTGGATTTCAGAATATGCATTTCGTCCTATTCGGGACTCATCAGCTAACTGGATGTACCTGGTATTCCCAATCAAAAATGAACTCAATACCCATACTTTCAAATACCAAGAGGTGGGTCTGCTCTCGTAGTCCAAGTGGTTTAGTGTGTAACCCTCTCTAGCGTTTCAAACGATGCGTACTAGGTTTGAGCCTTAGTGGGAACAGTATTACTCACTCACTCATTCACTGCGGATGAGCTGATGAGTCCCGAATAGGACGAAATGCACGCTATCCTGAAGTCCACATTGCTAGTCACCATCCTCCATATTACTTCAGATAATGTTATTACTCTGCTATAACATGTTTATACATAAATCTATCATCATATTAATCACACC